TAGAATCAGCAGGTCACTTTCCACCTGGGCTGTTAATTTATTCACCGTGAAGACTACATTTACATGTTTTCACTGGTTTCAAACAAAAAAGTCAATATTTGGGGGAGGTAGTGCTAGGGATAAATTTTGACATCATTCATAGAAGGGTTTTGGCAATGCATCCAAATAGCTTCACACCTCACATTCTTTTGAAGACATGAAACATTTCATCTGAGATGCTTGAACAAGACAAACCCCTATGTGGATGACTTCACTCACTCAATGTCATTTTTGTGTGTGCACCAATAGTGGGGTTTGAACTAGGTACTGTCCCTGAGCTTTATGCTCAAGGCTAGTGCTGTACCACTAGAGCCATAGCACCACTTCTGGCTTTTTAGGATAATTGGAGATTAAGAGTCTCAAGGACTTTCCTGCCCTTGGCTTGCTCAGAATGGCAATCTTCAGATCTCAGCCACCTGAGTAGCTAGGATTAGAGGGTGAGCCACCAGCTCCAGAGCCACCTGACACTAAACTTTATCTTGACATCTTGTAAGATGTCAATCAACCTGCAGGGATCCAGGTGGAGTGGGTCATAGCCATGCTGCCTAAGACCTGGGGAAGGGGTGAGGCTACACTTCTGGCTTTGTGCATGCCCTTATCTCTAGGGCAAAGGACACCAGCCCTCCCCTGCTAGAGGCCATGACTGGCCAATTCCTGGCCAGTTGATGGTGATCTGTTTGTGTTCACCTCAACTTTGGATTCAACTATCTTTCCTGACTCCCTGCTTTGTAGAATAAGTCAAGCTTCAGAAACAGGTAAAGCCTGGTGCTGGTGGCTCATGCCTGTAATCCTGGCTACTCAGGAGGCTAAGAACTGAGGCTCAAGGTTAGAAGCCAGCCTGGGCAGCAAAGTCTATGAGACTCTTATCTCCAATAAACTACTCAGAAAAAGCCAGAAGTGATGCAGTGGTTCAAGTGGTAGAGTGCTAGCCTTGAGCAAAAGCAGCTCAGGGACAGCACCTAGGCCCTGAGTTCAAGCTCAGGACCAGCACCAAAAAAGAAAAAGAAGAAAAAGCAAGCAAGCAACAGCTTTCCCATGAGGTTGTATAATCAGATCTCAGCAGCACATAAATACTCATACTTGTTTACATATATTCCAAGATAACATAATCAAATAGCACCTATAATTCACATCTAAAAATTACATCATGACAGCTGGACACTGTAAGGTGAGCCAGAAAGGAAACTGCCACATGGTTCAGGGAAAAATAATTTATTAGGGGTAGAGCAAACTGCAGGCTCACTTAAGATGGAGGCACATGGAGACAGAGGGGAAGGAAGAAGAGAACTCAAGAGAAAGAGACTCCTGGTGAGCCAGATTATATAGGGAAAGGCAAGAGGCAGGACCAGAGCAGATTTGTAAGTAATCTCAGAGCCTGGGGAAGCTCTCACTGTCAGAGGGAGGCAAGACCAGGGCGGTTCAGGAAATGACCTCAGCACCTGAGAAAGTGACCTCAGAGCCTGGGATCCTTTTCTGACTCATAGTCAGGTGATTGACAGTCAGATGATTACTGGTTTCAGGAAGGTGAAGAGGAAGTGGGGAGGAACTGTTCAACTGGGAAGACCTAACAGGCACTGGTAATATCTGTAATCCTATCTACTCTGGAAGCTGAGATCTGGAGGACTGTGATTCAAAACAACTTTGGCAAAGTTCATAAGACCCCTCCCAACTCAATGAATACCTGGACCTGTCCATCAGGGTGCATGCCTGTCATCCTAGCTATGGCAGAAAACGCAAACAAGAGGATCATGGTTCAAAGTTAGCTAGGGCAGTAAAATTCTGTCTTATCTCCAACCAAGCAACAGAAACCCAGAAGTGGAGCTGTGGTTCAAGTGTTAGAGTTGTAAGCCTTGAGTAAAAAGGCAAAGCAAGGGTGCAAGGTCCTGAGTCCAGGACTCAGTATGCTGACACACACGTGTGTGTGCCCACAAGATCCTATTGGAGAAACCATAATAAATGCCACTGCCATCTTCCACCTGTACTAGGAGAGGATGCATTGATGTCCTAGCTCTCTTGGCTTTGGAAACATGAAAAAATTGTGTGTGTGTGTGTGTGTGTGTATGTGTGTGTGTGTGTGTGTGAGAGAGAGAGAGAGAGAGAGAGAGAGAGAGTCTCTGTACTTAGAGCTAGCACTCTACTATTCAAGCCACAGCACCACTTCTGGCTTTTTCTGTTTATCGAAGATAAGAGTCTCATGGACTTTTCTGTCCCGGCTTTAAACTGCAATCCCCAGATCTCAGCCTCCTGTGTAGCTAGGATTACAGGTGTGAACCATCAGCACTCAGCACTTTTTTTTTTCTTCTTCAGATGTGGGTTCTCTTGATCTAAGCTCTTCCTATTATTCTAGAAGCTTCTGTTCTGAGACAAAGGAAACAATTCTTTTCTCAGACTGGAATTTTCTTTTCTTTTCTTTTTTTTGGGTCCGGTTGTGGGGCCTGAACTCTGGGCCTGGGTGCTGTCCCTCAGCTCTTCAGCTCAAGGCTAGCACTCTACCACTTGAGGCACAGCGCCACTTCTGGCTTTTTTCTTTTTGCTTATGTGGTGCTGAGGAATTGAACCCAGGGCCTCATGCATTGCAAGGCAAGCCCTCTACCACTGAGCCACCTTCCCAGCCCCTCAGACTGGAATTTTCAAAACTACATTTTCTAGCTGGCGCCAGTGGCTCACACCTGTAATCCTAGCTACTCAGGAGGCTGAGATCTGAGGATTGCAGTTCAAAGCCAGCCCAGGGTGGAAAGTCCATGAGACTCTTATCTCCAATAAACCACCAGAAAACTGGAAGCGGCGCCGTGGCTTATGTGGTAAAACACTCACCTTGAGCTGAAGAGCTGAAGGACAGCACCAGGCCTAGAGTTCAAGCCCCCCACCACCACTACCACCACCAACAACAAAAAATGCATACCACAAAAACTACATTTTTGGGGCTGGGAAGGTGGCTCAGTGGTAGAGCGCTTGCCTTGCATGCCTGAGGCCCTGGGTTCGATTCCTCAGCCCCACATAAGCAAAAAGAAAAAAGCCGGAAGTGGCGCTGTGGCTCAAGTGGTAGAGCGCTAGCCTTGAGCTGAAGAGCTGAGGGACAGCGCCCAGGCCCA